TAGCTCCTGACAGCCTTCCTTACCCCAGCTTGCCATTTTCTTGGGCCTGAGCAGAGGTGCTTTGAATCTCCAGCCAACCCTAACAAATCCAAGACTTCTCACTAAAGGAGGAGTCACCACTGGGCCCTGGCCCCACCTGCAGAGCTCTGGGGACAGCTCAGTTTCTACTAGGTCCAGCCCTCTTGGTCCCACCTCCGCCACTGGATAAAGTGAAGACAGACCTCAGTCTTTAGAATTCATCAGCCACAGAGACACAAACCATAGGGCCCACAGTCATGCCCCGCAGCATGCTTTGTGTACTTTTCAACACCCACCACCTTAGGCCATAGTAATCTGTGGCCCTTCCCCAGGTGGAAACTCCTTCAAGAAAGGGGTGTGTCCCACGCTCATTGCCACAGCCCCAGTGGAGAGTAAGCACAGGGATAACCTTTCAGGTGAATTCATACAGCTGCCTGCCAAGAATCCATTTCACAGGTGAGCAAAAGTAGACGCCTTTGACAAACACAGAAAGTAGGAACAGAGCCTGCTGTAGATTTCACTATTAAAGTAACTACCTCAAAAAAAAAAAAAAAAACCTTCAAAAATAATGTTGGAAATGGAGCTGTGACAACTCTGGTGAGGAGAGGAAGAACTGGATTAAAAAAGATCTGCCCTGCCCTGGACAAGATGCAGTCAGTGAATAATTCCGCTGGGACTGCAGATGGTGCAGATGGCTTGGTTTACAGATAATGAAGAAGGTTGCCTCCACTCCCTGTGTGGTCAGCAGGCTCCCGTAGTGGGTCACATGGCCCGTCCCCTGGGTGTGGTGACACATACATGCTGGAAGGACGGGATGGTAAATCTAGTAATACCCCAAGGTTCCCCCTCAATAAATAAGTGGCAGAGAAGCACAGCATCTGAATTAAGACCCAGGAAGAGGATATGGTTCAGCATTTTGAAACTGGGGCGGCCCAGACCGCCTCGTAAGGAAGTTCTCCTTGTCTGTCCCTCCCTCACTGGGGAAATAGGACAAGCAGGTTGTTTCTGGCTCCCACAGGACCAGTGTCTAGGATTCCAAGAGTCTGAGACAAGGCCAGGATTATGTGCACCTGGCCCTCCATTAACCCCTCACACAGTACCCAAGGAAACCGGACATTTCTTAGAACTTGTTAAGCGGCCTGGGTGGTGAGAAAGGCAAATTGCACTCCTTCATGATGGAAAGCACTACTGGAGCCCAGCACCTAGTTGCTGAGGTTCTCAAAGCCACAAACTGGATTTTATCTCCTCAGTCTGTCCCAACACCTGACCCTTGGCTGCCAGCCAACACAGCAAGCACAACAGATGGAACGGGACTTGATCAATAAAAACTCTCCTAGCTCAGTAAGGTTTTGGAAGACTCCACAGTACCTTCTCCGCTCCGCATCCTGAGGGTCTGTGCCTGGGAGGCTGATGGTGATGGAAGATGGGGCACCTACATCATAGCGCTTCACTGTCTTCTGGCATATCTTTACCTTCACCAGGAGGCCGTGCACCAAGTTCGCCAGCAGCCCCACCACAGGCTGCAGGATCTCAGGGAAGAAGGTGGCGAAAGCAAAGTGGTCAGCCATGTCCCCTCGGCCTCGGCTATGGCGCTGGTAGAAGCGGAGATACACCCAACTGGAGAGCAGCCCAAAGCCATAGGAGGCCAGTGCTGGGCTCTGGAGCAGCGTGGCCAGCCGCAACAGCAGCAGCAGCCCCAGCAGCAGCATGGGCACCACGCTGACGCGCACCTGCGGCACACGCAGGACCACGCAGTCCCCCATGGTTTGCTTGAGTGCCACCAGGACGCCACCTAGGAAGCCCAGGGCTCCGTGGATGCGGATAGTGAAAAGGTAGACCAAGTTGAAGGAAGTCATGTAGGTGAGGAGGTAGGCAAAGGCCCCCAGCAGCCCCACAGACACGTTCACCACTGAGAAGAAGATAAGCAGCTCCAAGGCTCCCCAGAGGGGCTCCAGCAAACGTCCAGCCACCACCACTGTGGCCAGGCTGATGGCCACATCCCACACGTGCTGTTCCATCAGCCCATGGGTGGCCAGGGTCCAGATCCAGAAATTGGGCGGAAAGAGGTAGCCTGGGGTGACCGCCAGGCAGCCCGTGTCCACGGCGAAGGACAGCAGGTAGAGGAAGAGTACTGCCGCGCACAGGGTCTTCACCACCACGCTGGCGCTGGCCAGGATGGCCCCCAAGTGCTGGCGGGCGCCCGGTAGGGCGCGCTGCATCTTCCCGAAGGGCGTCGGCCTGAGAGAAGGATTTAGTGTGTTAGGGGGGCCTCCCCGGGGCCTCGTCCCAGTCCGGCCCCGACGGGAGGCCCGGGCCCGGCCTAGTCACTGGCCTATGGCCCCGGTGAAGACTCCAGTTCTTGTCGCGTCGGCTCCGGTCCCAAACGGCCGAGCTGGGTCAGGTAGCGGGCCCGGGGCCTAGGCCCCTCGCCGGGGACCTGAGGGAAGGCCCTGGGAGGCTTCGGCACGTCTGCTTGCCGGCCTGCCTGCCCTGTGGGCCCCGCGCCAAGCTGACCGGGCTGGCGTTGATCTCAGGGCTCGGCCTATTCCATCCACTCCGGGGCCCTACGGTCTGCGCGGGACCGGAGCCTTGTTCTGGGCCCTAGTCAAGCCCCGTCAGCTCCGGCTCGGCCTCGGTCTTGACTGCGACCGTACCTCCTCCCTTCCCAGGCGCCGACAAACAGCGGTGCTGCGCCTGCGCGCCCGGGCAGCGGCGGGATGCCCTTCCGGCTCCGCAGCATGCTGGGACACGGAGTCCTCGGCCGAAGACGGGGACGAGCGGAAACCAGGGTTCTGCGTAAAACTACAAGTTCCAGGAAGCTGTGCGCCCGGCCGTTCCGGTTGGTAAGAGGAGGGTGTGCTGGGCAGTGGTAGTTCGCCGGACTGTTTCCGTTGGTTGTCAGGAGGTGTATAAGAGTGAACTGGCTTCGCTAACCTCGGGAAAGCTGCGGGTACCCCCACGGCAGCACGACTGCAGACACACCCTTGCTGAATTTCCTGGGAACAGTGACTCCGTGCATGTGCTTCTGAGTACATCTGAGTGTGTCCTTGTGGACAGGTGTGTAGGTAAGAATGTAGGTGGTCTTGGCGTGCGTACCAGTGTTCGGAAACTCCCGAAACTTCCGCAGTCCGGTGTGTGCCTGACCCAGGTTGTATGGGTGTCTGGGACCTGACCCGGACTGGAATTCTTGCTCTGCCATTTGGCGGCTCTGTGATACTGGCCAAGTTCCTCAGTTTCATGGACCGTAAAACGGAGATGATGACAGGACCTACTACGGTGAGGGTTCAAGGGGACTGTGGTGTAAAATGCCAGTCCATCCTGGGTGCTCAGTGAGTGTGTTGCCCAGGCTAACCTTGCTACAAATGTGGTGGAGCTGCGACTCGAACTCAGGTCTCCTGCCCCCAAAGGGGCAAGGCTGGGCTGCTTTTAGTGACTCTCTTCCCCACCCCGACTCTCTGGCCCTGAGGAGAGACAGAGGTGGGCCAGGGTGTCCCTGGGTCCCCACTTTACTGCAGCGGGAGCTTCCTGCAGTTTGTTCTGGGCAAAGAGATTTTTTTGGTGTATTGAGTTACGTTTTAAAAATGTGCATGTAATTGGAATAATTCTAGGACAAAGCACATTTATAAAGCGCAGAATCCCTTCCTTTCAGCCACCGATCTCAGTACAACTGCCGATGTGCACATAGCCTTACAGGTTACAAAGGGTGTTGATGTGACACCCTTTTCTTTGTCTGGGGTCTGGGTTCTCACTGGATGCCACCTAGGGTAGAGTTGCCAGATTTAGCAAATCAAAATACAGGGTGTTCAGTTCAGATAAATGAATAATTTTTTAGTGTAGGCATGTCCCCAGTCTTTTTAGTATAGTACAGTATTGGAAACATACTAAAAACCATTCATTGCTTATCTGAAATTCAAATTTGACTAAATGTTCTACATTTTATCTAGCAACCCTACCCCAGGCCCCGGGGGCTGTTGCAGGGCATGGAGCTCTCTCAAAGGTTACTAGTTAGGCATTGCTCTGTGGCCAACCCATGGAGGGGAATGAGGAAGGGTGTCCTTGCTGAGGCCTAGGATGCACTTCTCTATTTATTTAGTGTCTGAGGCCCTCCAGCCACAGGTCACCTCCTCTCTGAAACCTTTGCTGATTTCTTGCCCTTCTCACCAGGGGTGGGGGAGAAGATTTCTCCTCAGTCTCAGTTTGTTTATCTGCTGTATGCAGATAAACTAGTATCCCAACTCTAAGGTGGTAAGCTAGCTGCCCACCCGGTGAGTGCAAAAGTATGCGTCATGAGAGAGTGAGCATCAGCAGTCCTGGGAAACCTCTGCGCTGATGGTTACTAGTTTCTCTCCTTGAAAAGAACATGAAGGGTCACATGGACTAGGATTGATTATTAAGAGAGTTGGGATTAAAATGAACAAGGGCATAGGGCAGGCAGAGGGAGGTCTGAGAGGATTCACCGAAATGGACTCAGTCTTGGGTTCCAGCATGAGCAGTGGTAGTCAAGGAGAGCACTGGGCCTTGCGCCTCCCTTGGGCTGGAAAGGAGCCGTGGTCATGCTTGTTGGTGGGCCAGACCCTGGCCTCCTCCGGACAGCGGGATGGGGCCCTCAAGCACCGGGTCCAGGACTTGGGCCTGGTACTAACTCATCGCTCTAAGTGGATGACCTGCCGACTAGGCCCTGGTGGTTTGACTTGATGTCTAGACGCCTGCCTAAACTCGAATCTCATCTGTCTTTTTTCTTTCACCGTCCTGGCCTTTAAGGACAGCTTTTCTCAGAGGCTTTTGAGATTATATGGGACAAAGGATGTCAAGGATCTCTCACTTCGGAAGCCCAGGAGGCATTATGCCCTATATCCACTGGGTACCTGGGTTGCAATGGCCTTCAGTCCCAGCTCAGTGGTAGGTGGGACTTTGAAGTCATGGCCACCTGTCTTCAAGCTACCCAATCCCCACCCTGAGGCAGACACAGTGGATGGGAACCATTTGAAGTGAAAATATGAACATTATTTAATAACTGATCTTCTGTAATAAACCATTTGAAAATATTTTACAAGGAATCACACACACGATATTTTACAAAGTTTCTTGACTTTTTTGTCACTGTTGTTTTTCTGACTTGTCTGTACAAAATAGAACAACAACCAAAAAAAAGGGCAGAGAAGAGGAAATGGCCCCCCAGTCCCCCACAGATCCCCCGAGCCCGAGGTGAGGGGGCAGCCAGGTCGGGTGGGTGATGAGAAGGATCAGACCCAGCTGGGGGTTGGACAACTACCTGATGGGGATTGTTTGTCTGTTTTCCTGTTTCTTAAACTTAAAATATATATTTTTCTATATATGTTTGATTCTTTTTTATTTTTATAATCTCCATTGAGCACCTGACTACACTACAGTTACACACACGCCCCCGCAAGACATGGCTGGCATCTAGGCTGGGTGTACAGCACGGGTGCCCACCCTGGCACCAGCAGCGGGCATGGACCATACACACACACTGAGAAAGCGACAAGCAACATGACATTAATTAACGGAGCCATTAATTAATGCATCACCCTCCCCCCTCCTCCCAGTCCATCTAAACCTCATGGCCACGTCCCCCTGCCCTCTGTCCCCCACTTGCCCCCAGGCTGGGATGCCTTTGGGGGAAATGATCAGAATGAATGGTGTGAAGTCATGTGCCTGGGCCCAGCCTGTGTGTGTGCAGAGTGTGTACATGTGTGTATGCGTGTACAAGTGTGTGTTCAGCAGGGAGGGGCAGGTTGCCTCCCCCCAGTTGGGGGCAGGGAATGTGTGTGTGTGTGTGTGAGAGAGAGAGAGAGATAAAGAGTGTGAGTGTGAAGAAACAGGGAATGGGCACGGGCCTGAGTGTGTAAGGGCCAGATTGGGGGTGGGATGGCCCAGCCAGGAGTGATCATGTCACTCTGGCTAAGGCAAAGGGCAACGTCTGGTGCAGGCAGTGGCGTGTGGTCCCGCTAGGGGCCTGACACTAGTGCGAAATGGTTACAATGAGCACCTGGCGGGGTGAGGGACATATCCGGGATACTGGCGGCTAGGGTGGGACACGGGGTTGTCATCCCCTGCCCCAGCATTTGGCACTGTTTGACATTCAGCTTTAGAGACAGAGGACCAGCTGGGCTGCAGGTCAGATTAGAGGCGGGCGGTGAGCAGGAGATGAAGTGTGCATGTGCCAACCCTCCCACCAACCCCTTGCCCTGTGTAAGGCTTTGTGAGCCCCCACCCCCACCCTACCCCATGGTGTGTGTGTGTGTGTTTGTGTGTTTGTGTGTGTGTCCTCCTTGGTGTGTCTAATGTAAGTCCAGTTTCTGCCCTCAGGGCTCCAGGTGTGTATGGGGTTGTGTCTGAGCCAGTGTCACTGTCACTGGACTGTCACCTGCAGGGCTGAAGGAAGGTGGGAGGTGGCTGTAGGCCTGAAAGGGGCAGGAGCCCATTGTGGGGCTGCCTCTCTCCTGCTAGGACTTAAGCTGGGATGCACAGGCCTCAAACTACCCACCTCAACTTCATTATTCCCAGGGAATCCAGATTTGGTCCTGGGCGGGGCCTAAGGGCCAGGTTAGAGGAGTCCAGCTGGGGCAGGGCCTAGGTCTCCCGCACAAAGGGAGCCTTGGGGCAGGGTGGGCAGTGGAGGCCTGGTTTGGCACCAGTACTGTGGCTTCCCTGTCCCAGCCCTCAGGGGTGGGTGAGTCCGGTGGGAATAAGGGGTCTGGGGTCACTCTGACAGTTCAGCGGCGCGATGTGGCTTGGGGGCCAAAGACCTGCGGAACCTTCCTTTGGGACCGCCGCCCCCCCCCCCCCCCCCCCCAAGGCTCAGACTCTTGGGCCTGGCCACTCCGGTCCTTCAGTGAGGGAGGAGGCGAGGCTCTAAGGCGGGGTGTGTGGGACAGCGGAGCAGGGGAGAGGCGGGGAGGCCTGGGGAGGGGTAGGAGGGGGGCGCTCAGACGCGGCGCGAGGCGTGGGCGTGGACTTGGGGCTGCGGCCGGGGGGGCAGGCCCAGGAGGAGCAGCAGCTGCAGGGAGACCAGGACGCCCAGCGACGGCGGGAAGGAAGCTCCGCGGCCACAGTCTGAGGTATCTTCCTGCGGGAAGAGGCAAGGAGCGGGTTGGCCCGGGCGGCCCGGGGAGGGGAGGGGAGCGCCAAGTCAAGTGCGCCGCCCCCTCCTCACCGTCGCGTTGTAGTCAAAGCAGATGTGCGGGCCTCTGCGGTATCGCGGTCTCTGCACCAGTTCACACTGCTCCGGGCCGTCCGCTGGGCATGGGTGGGGAGTCAAGGAGGCGGCAGGGCACGGAGGGGCGCGCGGGGCAGGAGGGGGCGCGCGGGCGGCGGGGAACGGCGGGGGCAGGATACAGTGTGTCTCTTTCTGCAGCAGCCGGCCAGCCTCACACTGGCTGCACAGCGGCTTCTCGGCCACCACGAAGAGAAGGTTGGTGTTGGTCAGTCTCTGCGCGTGGAACAGCCTGGAGGCAGCACGGGAAGGAGGGGCGTTGGGACTCGCCCCGCCCCTCCCCTCCCCGCTGCAGCCCCGGCTCCGCCCCGGGCCGCGCCCACCCGTCCGGTCCCGCCCGGTCCTCCGGTCCCGCACCCCGCGGGCACCTGGAGCAGTTTCCGCAGTCGATGATGGCGTTGTAGGAGGCGTTCACCGACCCGAAGTAGTACTGGGTCTGTTTCATGACGCAGCTGCTCTCGCGCGCCTCGGGGCTCCCCTCGGCCTCCGCGGGGTCTGCGAGGGCCCAGAGCGCCTCAGCCCCACCCATACGCCCTGGCCGGCTCTCGGGCCTTGGCCTCGCTCAGCCGTAAGCCCCGCCCTCCCTTTGGGGTGGGTCTGAGCTTAGACTGGGGGGAGGGGGTTCGAGGAGGGGCTTCCAAAGCCCTACCTACCTGCCTGGAACCAGCTATGATAGATGAGACCGTAGAGAAGCTGCTGGAACAAGGACCTGCAGGGCGTGGATCACTGAGTGGGTGTGGTCACCAGAGACCAGTGCCCTGCCGCACCACCTCTCTTGAGCCCTCCTGCCCAGAGAGCACGGTCCCTCCGCCCCCTCCCCCCTGGGACTCACCAGGCGGCAGCCGAGGTCCACCAGGCCAGGTTAAGGAAGTCTGCAATGGTGGGCTGCGGTGGAGAGAGGGGCATGGGCTGCCACGGCTGTCCCTGGACCCGGGTCTCCCCCCCATTCTCTTGTCAGAGGTGGAGCATCATCTGTGGGCAGGTCTCCCAGGCCCCCCCGCCCCCGCCAGGCATCACTGGGGCTCACCACAAAGACGCCCCGGGGTGCAGCACCCAGGTTGCCCGGCGGCTGGGGGGCGCAGGCTGCCTGATAGTCGTAGGACTCTTTGCGGGTGTAGAAGGAGTTATTGTAGAGTGCCAGCATCAGGTTGGCATCCACCTCACTGAAGAACCTGCCCACCTGGGAATGCCAGGAGGGAGTGGTAACAGGGCTGGCGTGCCACACCCCCAGAAGGCTCAAACCCTGGCCCCCCTCCTTCCTCCCTCTTCTCGACCCTCACCTGGTCCCACTGATGATTCTGGTTTGACAGCACCAGGAATCCCCCATCGTCAATGAGGACACAGAGAAGGTCCTGAGAGGTAGGGAAGGGGGAGGAAGATGGAGAGGGGCCCAGGCCCAGACCTTCCTCCCCAGACCCTGGCAGTCGGGTGGTTGGGTCGAAGGGGCACAGTTCTGGTAAACCTGTGAAGTCGGGGTGGGATGTTGAGACCCCCCACCCCCGCCCCCACCAGGCCAAGGGATGGGCTAGGAGTCGCAGTTGGGACAAGGGAGTCTGGGATTGGGGTAAGCTAGGGTTCAGGGCACACGTACCTCATTGTTAACCTCGCAGTCCATCTCACAGTGGCTGTTGGGGCCACACTGCTGGGCAGAGAGCAAGGACCATAAGGTGCCTGCCAGTTCCCCCCCTCCCATCACACTTTCGTACTTCTCGGTCCCCAGGCCATCTGCAACAGCCACTGCCTCCCCATAAGGCACAGGAACCACTCTGAGTGGTAGGGGTTCCTGGGGGGACTCGGTACTGCTGGGCTTACTGCCCCCACCCCGGCCCAGGTACCTTCTGAGGCTGGTCCTGGTGGGTACGGTTGCTGGCTAGCACCTTGAACTTCTCAGCCCAGGCCTCTAGGTCCAGCTTAACACCTACCACTATAGAGAACAGCAAGGGGCCATCAATGCCCACCTGCCTGGGCAGCACCTTGCCCATCGTCTCTTTCCCCACCTCCGCCCCAGGCATTCACCTGCTGGCCTCAGTGTGTGTCCGCCCAGGCTTAGCTCCACAGCCGTGCTGACGAGGATGCCCACCGTGTCATTCTCCAGCTCCAGTGGCCTTAACAGGGCTGGAGGTAGGGTGGGGAAGTCAGGAGTAGGGGCTGGTGGCCACACTGACCGCTCTGTACTGGGCCTGTGGACCCAGGAGCCCAAGCCAAGCACCCAGTACCCAAGGTAGCGCTGGCACAGCCTAGCTCTGTCTTCTCATCACTCCCAGTCTCGGCTAGCCTCATGTTTGAGAGGGGCCTCAGAGAGCAGAGCCCAGCCCTGGCCGAGCAGACAGGGAAGCCTCAACTTCCCACCTGCTGGGCACCTGGGAGGACACTCACCATCCTGGTGTGGGGGTTTGAAGACATAGCCGTGGTTGTCCAGGCTACGGCGGTAGAAGCTGGCATTGAAGGGCTCCGGGTTCTCCGTCCAGTCCTCAGCTGCTCTGGTTATCCGAGACAGATGTTGGTGGAAAGGGGGGTGGGGTGGGGGACAGTGTCTCAGCAGGTGCAAAGAGGCCTATGGGCAGCGGGACAGAGGCAGGGTCCCGGGTGGGGGCAGGGTGTCGGGTGGCAGCGTAGGTCACTTACTTGTTGGGGAATACGCGGGTGATGCCACCGTCCGTGGCAGCGAACACGGCCAGAAGGCTGTACCTGGGGGGCAGCAGGGAGGTGAGTCACAGGCCCGCCTTCTTCAGGGCAGGGCCAGGGCCTCTGGGCCCATCCCAGCCTCCTGCCCCCACAGGCTGGGTGGTGCCTACGTGTTGAGGTCCTGGTCCCGCCACGCGCGCTCCACCAGCTGCTGTGTGATGCCCGTGTCCAAGATCAGGTTGTGCAGAAGGAAGTTGTTGCCTGCAACGGGAAGGTAGGGGTGGAGGGGGTGGCTTCTTGTGGCTTCCTGCCCCCTCTCCCCCACACACCCAAGGCTCCAGTAGGAGCCTTCCCCACTGCCTGGCCCAGGCCCTGCCCTGGGCTTGGGTCTGCATCACACCTGCCCGGTCTCTGGCTTCTTTCGGGCTGCCCCCTTGGGGTCTGGGCACTGCCCAGACCCGGCGGCCCCACCAGGCACTCACACTGCTTGGAGTCTGGAGTCACTTTCTCCATGAGCTCAATGAAGTTTTTCAGGAACTCGGTGTTGTTGTCTGAGGCATTCAGGTCCTTGCAATACTCTCTGGGGGTGGGGAGGGGCAAGAAGAGTGGGCTTGGGGGGCTGGACAGAGCAGTAGGGTTGAGGCTTCCCAACAGGCCCGCCTGGCCATTGGCTGAGAAGCCCGGGCCTCAGCGGGGCATGGGTATTCCTACAGGCTACGTGCCTGGCAGGCTGCCACGTCTGAGTAGGGACAGAGCTGACACAAGAAGGATGGTCCACGTCCTCCAACCTGGCAGATTCTCCCTCCTGGGGATAGCCCTGCGGAGCCTCCCACCCCTCCTGTGTAGCTGGACCCAGATGGCCCCCGGGGGAGGCCCCAGGGAAGGCCCCCCGGCCGGCTCGTCCCCCTGTACGCTGTAGTGTTCCCGAGGGCACAAGGTGGGTGGGCAAGTGCCAGCACTGCCTTAGTCAGCCTGAGAGTGAGCCCTCAGCCTGCCGCTTCCCGGCCTGGCACCTCTGGACAACTCACTTAAGCTCCCCGAGCCTCAGATTTTTCCATCGTACCACAGAGGGTGTCAGGAAGTCAGTGGGAATGCGTGGGGCCTCCGACTGGTGATTCCTTCTGCCCGGGATGCTCTTCCCCCAGAGGTGGACAGGCGAAACCCCTCACTTCCTCAAGGCCCTCGCTGGGCTCAGCCTCTGGGTCCAGACAACGTGGGAGCTTTGGGGGCACGGGAGGCCTGCTTAGGGCTCTGCTCCCCAGGAAGTCTGGTAGATGGAGCTTTCGCTTCTGCCCAATCGCTCATTCACACCCCTGCCACCAGAGACCTCCCCACTGGCCTGGATGCAGGCAGCCTTGGGAGTTTTTTGAAATGTGCTGCTTCCCTAGGCTGTGCCCACGGTTTGCTGAGGGCACCTGGTTCGGGGTCTCAGTCCCCACTTGCTCTCTGGCCCCGATGGCCTTTGTGCAGTGCGCAGCCTGTACTTCTGTGGTAGGGGGCACGGCTGACACATCCAGAGTGACACCCGTAGATTGTGCTTCAGCTACAACTTCCCTGCAGCCCCTCCCCCCCCCAACAATATGTACATTTACAGCTGTGGATTACTTCATTTGCTCACCCAGCACATATTTATTGAGTTCTCCCAAGCCAAAATACAGAAGTGACAAAAACAAACCCAGTCCCCTCTCTCAGGGTCACGTGGGCCACCCAGGCCTTTTCACTCATTCCCACCATCACTCATGCCCACAGCCCACCCCACAGTACATTCAGACTCTTACAAATGTACACAATTACTCACAAATACAAACACACATCTACAGAGAGTCAAGAGAAATTGATGGGTGCATGCACACACGTGCACACACATGGAGGTTAGGAGTGTCCAGAGCCCCCGGGTGGTGCCTGAGAGTGCCCATGGGTCCAGAGCCAGGTCACGGGGGAGGGCTTCACCACGGGGCGGGGGGGCGTTGGTCTCCTCACTTGTGGGCCAACAGGCAGAGGGTGGGCACCCAAGGATGTGCGTGTGCATGCTGAGTGTGCACTTCAGGGATGGTCCAGGGCGCTGGGCCCTGACCCCTCACTTGCCAGAGCAGCTCTTCGAAGCCCTTGTACTCCCCACCTCCCCCAGTCCCCTGTGAGCCACCACCCCTAAATTCAGCACTGCCGACGGGGGCTCTGGCTGGCTCATCCCCAGACCCACACAAACACTGACTGACACAGGACAAGGCTGGGGTGCAGGGTAGGGGTTGGGGAGGGCGCCACAAACCAGAGCAGCAGCTGCCCAGGGAGGGGTTTGCTGCGGACAGCCTGCCCAGGGCAGAAAGGGTCCTTCCTGGTGGCCTGGGAGGGCAGGGAAGATCGGCAGAGTCTGGAGCCCTCCCGCCCCAGGCCTGGTGGGGGCTGGAGCTGTGGGCGGCTGGCCACTGCTGCCTGGTGGGGTGGCATGGCCCGGGTATGCACAGGGCTGCACATACAGGGCTATGCACGGGGCGGGGCGACACCGCACAGGACACACACACACACACACACACACACACACACACACAGAGCTCCAGGCAGCCGTGCAGGAGGCAGGGCCGGGGTGGTTGGGGTTGGGGTTGGGGAGGACACCTCAGCAAGGCCACACGCAAGCTACCTGGGAGCAATGAAAACATGTCCTTCAGACTCAAAGCTGCTGGGGAGCAGGAACTCAAAATCTGCAACAGAAACGGGGGGTTATCCGGCGGGGGCTGGGGAGGCAGGAGGCCGGGGGGCTCAGAGCTGATGGGGCTGGAGGGACAGGGAAGAGGGTGGCTTGAGGGAGGGGGGAGACACCAACAAAGAGGGAACCCGCCACTTCCACGTTCAAGTTCGAGCCAGAGAGAAGGGGCGGGCGGGGAGGGGGTGGAGGGCCTGTGGTGACTCCGGCATCGCGGGAGGAGGGCAGTTATAGCCAATATGTTGCCCAGGCCCGGTCCTCTGTGGGCAGTGAGTCCCGTGGCGTGGCTGTATGTGCTTCCATACGGCTGTATAGCACATATACACGGACATACACACACACATATATATACACACACTGCTATATATATGCATGGTCTGGGGGAGGCGCCGGTCTCGCTCTTATCACGTCCGTAATGGAAAACACCGCATGCTGAGCTTCCTTTGCCTCCAAAGAGACTTTGAGGAAGGGAATTGGCTTTTGGCTGCAGATTTTTATCTCTCTTTCTTTGCTGCAGCTGTTTGCATTTTTGGTAGGTCTTACTTTTGTTCTGTGTCAGGCATCAACATGGCCAAACCGAGGGGATTTCTCACGGGCAGAGACAGTCCAACCAGAGACGGTGTGGGCAGCTGGGGCTGGGCTGCAGTGCATTGTGGGGGTCCCGCAGTCCTTCCTGGGCTGGGAGGCTGGGTGAGGGCAGAGGGAGAAGAATGGGCCTCCACCCTTCCTAGGACCTGCCTGGGTTCAGAGCAGCCCAAGAGGAATGCTGGGGCTCCAGAGGAGCTGTGGGGTGCTCTTGAGGGATCCTGTGCACATGTTTGAGAGAGAACACATACGTACATGGGAGAGGATGTGTGTTTGCATGAGCGTGCATGTGTACGAGTGTCTCTGTGTGGCTTTGTGAGTGAATCTGGGGTTTCTCTGGGGCATCTCCTTGCCAGGCTGGATCAGCTACCTGGCTGGTCTGCATCTTGGAGGCATGCCCCTGCCCCTTGGCCTGTTGCACTCTGGGCAGCCCACCTTCCAATCCTGTCTTCACCAAGGTTCCGACCTCTTTGTCACTGTAGGGCTTTATTTTTGCAGAAGAGGGGTCTTCTCTGTTTCCAGATACTCCCACAATGCACTGCAAGATTCCGGGAGGTGGACCTGGGGTGCCTGGAGGGGCTGGGCAGTCACTGGTTGGACTGTTGCTTTCTGATGGGACTGTGAGGTAGGGTTTGGACACAGGCCGACAGGGAGCGGGGGGTAGGGGAGGGGAAGGAGGAGAAAGAAAAAGGAGGTAGGGAGACTAGGCTATAGTTGTCATTGTTACCAGAGCCCTGCATTTCTGGGGACATTGGGAGGGATGTGGAAGGAGGAGAAAAGACAACTCAAGCCAGTGGGAGTAGGGCCTGTCCCCCCACCCCGACCCAGGCCACGGGGACCAGCTCTATCCCTTTTGCTGGACTAGGCTGGACAGGGCCCCTTGGGCTTCTTGGGGAGCCCTGGCTTCCAGGCCATCCCCTCTTGGCTCTCTGTGCCCATCTGCCCCGGCACTCCCTGGGAGGGGTGTCTCTGTGCACCGATGGTAGAGACCCTCGCATGTTTCTCTCTCTCGCTCCCCTTATTCTCCACCCAAGTCTGGGAGTTCATTGCCTACCTTTCTCCGGAGTCTCTGGCTTGGATTATGTCTAAGTGCCAGAACTTTTTTCTTCACTCCCAGACTGATTCCCTCCAACCTGTTTCGCTGGCCCTTGGGGTCCAGACACATTTCCTTTCTTCCTGGCTAGGCTCACCATCCCCGAGTCTGCTTTTATTTCCCAGGGGAACACCTTCTTCATCGCTGACCACCTGCCCCAGCTGCAGTGGGTACCGCGGTTGGGCTGGGCCAGTGGGCTTTAGCAAAGTGGTAGGGGCAGCAGGGGACAGGGGTGACAGCACCTAGGCAGGTGCCCAGGATGATTGGGTCTGCCTTGCTCTCCCAGTGGCGTGGCTGATGCCCTATCCTGCCCATCTCAGAGTCAGGGTGGGGGGCTTCCAGAGCCTTCTGTCACCCCTTGGAGGGCTGTCAACTTTGGACCAACTGGCAGAGATAATAGCGGGGAGAACTATCCCAGAGGAAGCCTCAGGTGGCTGGGGCTTCCCTTTCCGATAAGCCTCTCATAAGCCCTGCTGAGGACTCCTCTAGCCCCTGTCTATCAGGCCCCCTGCCCTGCTGGGTGGGAGGTGGTGGAGAGGCATCCAGCCCACTGTTGAGTTGTCTTGGAGGGACAGAGAAGGTGGGGATGGGCAGGGACCTGCCCAGAGGGAGCAAGGAGGATGAAGAGGGGGGCCTGAGCTCTCAGAACACCCGGAGACCACCCTGCAGGCAGGGCCAGGAGCAGGGCCGCTGGCTGTAATAGGGGTTTAGGGATAAGGGAAAAGGCAAGAACTAGAGGAGCCAAGGGGATGCTGGGAGGGAGCCCTGGAGAGCAGGGGTTTGGCTGGTCCTGGGCAGGGAGGGGGGCAAGCAGGGGTGTGAGGGTGGGTGGGGTGGGGAGAGGAGAGTGCACTGGTTCTGAATATACTTGCCCTTCAGTTTGCTGATTGGCACTGGGACAGTCCACCAAGAGAGAAAGCGAGGAAAACAAAAACAACACAAACACAAAAACAAACGAAAAGGGGGAGGGAGAGGGGGGGCACAAACAATATTTTATTCAATGGCTGTTTGAATGAAAATATTGTGTCTCATCATCATACCGAAAGGAAACTTCTTGCAAAAAAACGACATGAGAGAGAAAGAGAGAGCGAGAAAACTCAAAGGAGATGAGCCCGGGTTGGCCAGGCAGGTGGGGGGCGCCCGGTGGGGCCGGAGCCCCAGCCTCCCTCCCAGTGACCTCGGGCGGTGGGCAGGCGGGGCCGCAGGCTCCGGAGGCCTCTCGGGGGAGGCCCAGGGTGAGCAGGACATGCAGGGATAAGCCACAGGCAGAGGAGTGGGAAGGAAGGAAGGAGAGAGGTCCAGAGAGGAGGAGAGAGGGCGAGGGAGGAGGAAGAAGAGGCAGAGAGGGTGGGATGGGGAAGAGAACAGAGGGAGGTAGGGAGAGAAAGTAGGGATGCTGGGGTAGGGGAGAGAGGGAAAGAGCAGAAGGGAGAGGGAATGGGGGAGACAGAAGGTGGGGATATAGGGAAAGGAGAGAGGAGGAAGGGAGAGAGAAGGGAGAAGGGGAGAGGAGGAGGAGGGAGAGAAGTGGGGAGAGGGAAGGGCAGTGGGGGTCGGAGCAAGGTGAGAGGGGCGGCTCAGGGAGGAGGAAAATGGAGGAGGATGAGTGAAGGGGGCGGAGTAGGGGGAGAGAGAGACCCTGCGGGGGGGCACCACAGGGGGAGAGAGCTATAGGGCACAGGCGAGAGGAGAGATGAGAGGGGGGTGTCTTCCAAGAATGCAGCCCCCAGGGGTATGCGGGGGAGGCAGGCTAAGGAGGGAAGACACGCAGTAGGAGAAACTAAAACCAAAAACCTCAACGGAAATCATGAGAGAATGATCTGGAACCACATCTGAGAAAAGGCGAGCATGCAGATTTCCACAGACTTTCCGATGGCTGGTGCCCCAGCCTGCGGGTGCCTGGGGGGGGGGGCAGACTGGGCAGGGGGGGCTGCCTTGCCACCAGTGGCTGGCTATGCTGCCTGGGGCTGGCCAGGGTGCGGGGCAGAGGCAGGGGTGCAGGGCGCAGGCAGGGGCTGGGCCACTTACACTTGACCTGCAGGATCTGGTCGCTGAGGTTGGCTTGGAGGTAGAAGGTGCTGTAGGGCGGGAGCACAAGCCCTAGGCTAGGGAGGAGGGGAGGGGAGGAGCGTATTTCACTGCTGGGGAGAGGTGGGCCACAGTGGCATCCGGCCCCCCACCCCATGGCCTCGGAGCCAGGCAGAGTGGCCCAGGCTATGACGTCCCCTCTCCTGCCCACCAGGGCCACCTTTCCCTGTTAGCTGTGGGAGATTCAGTCCCCGAACTCTCCTGGACGCCTCAGAATGACCAGCCCCAAAGCAAGTCCCCCCCCCACTCCCCTTCCCCCAGCAGCCCCTCCCGCCCCAGGTACCCAGCCGGCCTCCTCAATCAGGCCAGCAGCAGACTCACAAGGGGCAGAGCACTGTCAGTGAGCTAGGCTGTTGGGTGCACAGCCGTGGAAGTGGGGTCCTCGGTCCCCAGAGACTTAGGTCATGTGCAAGCCAGTGAGAAGCAGGGCTGGCGCTAACACGGTGAGGAGCAATCACAAGCTGGGACTGGGGTGGGAATGAGACCGGCTCTGGGGGGCACAAGAAGACAGCCTGCACGGCCTGGGCCTGACCCACAAGGGTACCTCCTCCGAGGGCTGTGGTGCCTGTTGACAGCCAGCCTGGGGATGTGCTGAGGGTGACATCCTGGGTGCAGATACCCAGGGATACGATCCAGGCAGGGGTGACGTGAGAGGGTGGTGTGGCATGGGGAGACATCAGATGCACTGTCTTGTCTCTGTCCTGTGCTCCCAGGAAATGGCCCTTGTTCCTGAAGGGCCAGCGAGAGGCCCTTGGGGGACCGAGAGTCCCGGGGTGAGTAGTGAGCAGCCCTGGCTGCTGGTGCCCCACTAGGATCATGGCTCCAGCCACTGAGCACCCACAGACTGGGTGGGGAGAGGGCTCAGATTCTGGGCTCTGGGGCTGCCCCGCCCCTCCCTGCCAGCCCCGCCCCACTCACCTATAGTTGGTGCTCCTTATGGGCACCCAGGTGTAGTTCCGCACCACCTCGTCTACGTACCTCTGAGAGAAGAGGCTGGGTCAAGTACTTGGGCCAGTAGGCAGGGGTGGGATGGAGTGCGGGAAGATGCCCACCCTGACTCTGTCCCCCTCCCCCATCTTCTCACCTCGTCCAGGGACTTGACCAGTGTTCTGATCTGCTTGTGGCCCTTGTTGCCATCGATCATGCTCCGACGGATCTGAAAGGGCCAGAGCCGTGAGGGGTGCGGCCCCTACTCTCGGCTGCTCTGGGTGCCACCATCCATACTCCCCTCCTTGCCCTCACCTCCTCCTTGTTCTCATCCTCCAGCTCAGCATCCAGGAAGTCCAGAGTCACTGGCTCCCGGAAGTTGGTGGTCTGTGGGAGGCAGGGCAGGAAGTCAGGGGTCCCTATCTTGTAGGGTTTACCCTCCTCCTGACTGCCCCTGGCTCACCTGGGACTTGAGGTTGGGGTGCAGCAACACATAGCCGTTCAGGTCAATGGCAAACACGTAGCCGTTGGCTCCAAGCTGGGGGCGTAGATGGAGGGGCTCAGAGCCTGGAGGGCCGGGCAGGGATTCCCCAGCCTCTCGAGCTCTTCCTCAGCCTGCTTTCCATACGACTGAGAGCTGCCGTGTGCCTGCCTGGGCCAGGGGCCCCCACATGCCACGTGGCCTTGAACCTATTTCTCAAGTCAAGCCCAGCACGCTGGCGTCCCTTGTTGAGGCTGATGGGCTCCATGGGACCACGACTCGATTTGGCCTTCTGCCCCCATGTCTCCTGGTTCTCTTGGAGCTCTCAGTCGGCCAGACTGCTCTGTCTCCATTGGCCCCTCAGCGCCGCCGTCTCCTCCCTGCACCCCTACTTCCGCCTCCTCCTGGTCCCTAGCTCAGTAGAGTGCCGAGGGAGGAGCGTACCCCGTCCAGACAGAAGTGAAGGAGGAGTGAATGGGACCCTGGGCTCCCCCTTAGCTCTCCAGGCTGCTTTCTCACTGAACATGGAGGCCAACCACACGGGGCCTTCGGGTCGAGGCAAGCTGTCACACATGTCCCACCCCCCACCCCTTTCACAACCAAGACTGAAGCTGCCTTCGCCACAGGCCCTGGGCCAGCCACACTGACCTTGCACCTCCCCTGGTTTCTGATTTTGGTTTTCACCTTCGGTCCTTTGCTCAGAGAGTTTCCTGTAACTCCAAGGTATGCCTCCTGTCTATCCGACCGTCCAGGGGTTGGCAAACTACGGCCCATGGGCCATACCTGGCCCATCACCTGTTACTGTATGACCAGGAATATTTTTTACATTTCTTTTTTTTAAAGATTTATTTATTTATCTGAGAGCGACCGAGCAAGCGTGCATACAAGTGGGGGAGGGGCAGAGGGAGAGAATCTTCAAGCAGACTCCCTTGCTAAGCGGCCTATGTGGGACTCTGAGCTGAAACCAAGAGTCAGACACTTAACCAAGAGCCCCTGTTTTTTTGTTTTTTTACATTTTTAAGTGGTTGAAAAAGATCATGATGTGAAAATTAGGGGAAATTTAAATTTCAGTATCCACAAACAGAATTGTATTGGAACACAGCCGTGCCCATTTATTTGTTTTATCTGTGGCCGTGCTCAGTACAACAGCAGAACTGGGTATGAGTATTTACACTGGCAGAGCCTAAAATATTCATAGTCTGGCCCTTCACAGAAAGTTTGCCGACCCCAGCTCTAGGCCCAAGGTCACCTCCTCCAGAAGCTTTCCCTGACTGACTGAATTCACAGGTCTCTCTGGAGGTGCTATAATCCCCATCAGACATCTCTGCTGAGCCTGGCTTGCGTCCACGTGGGAGGCAGAGCTGGGTGGATGGGCAGATGGACACTTACCGTGTAGTTTGGAGTCAGCCTCTTGATGTCATTCAGAGCCACATCGATGCCCATCACACCCAGGATCAACTGGTTCTGGGAGCAGAGGCATGGGGTCTGCAATGGGCTCAATTCCACAGGGGAGCCCCACTGTCCAAACCTCATGCCCAAGGCCTTAATCTGCTCACAAGTAGTTGCCTCTGTCCAGTCTGAAGGCTGGCCTGTCCCTCCGCCAACCCAGGCCTGCCAGGGGCATGCCTGACCCCCTCAGGCATGCCCAGCCCTTCCTTGGTGGGGAACCTTACCTTTTTCTCCCCAGGGCCATCCTGTGTCAGGTTGAAAACAGGGAGGGTCCCTGTCACCACCAACCCCAGCCCCTGAAGGGAGAGGAGGATGACAGGTTAGTCTCCTGTGGCCAGCCATGCCCCACCCTCAGTGTCCAGAGAATGGGCTCAGGCACAGGCCCCTTTTTTTCTTCTCTGTTTGGTTTACTCCCATAAGGGGGCCCTTAAGGAACTTGACCTTGTGGGCACATCTGTGGGGGCCCAGAGGCCTTACCAGAGCATCCTCATACACGTTGGTCCATTGCACCTGCTTGGCTTCTTTGCCCGCCAGCACCATGGGCCTGCCCAGTACATCCAAATATTCCTGGGGAGAAGGTGACAGGGGTCACAAGTCCACCTGCCCACTGCATCTTCCCTGTTCTGCCTCCCCATATATAAGCCAGCCACCAGGGGGCGCTCTCACACCACAGCAGCCCTTCGGTCACACTGTGCCCAGGAAGTAAGGGGCTGGGAGGAGGGGGAAGGCCCTAGGGTCTCACCTGCGTGTTAATGCGGATGGCTCCAATGGAAGGGATCTCAAAATAGTAACCTGTGAGGGAAGGTGAGGCAGAGGTGGGTCTGGGTGGTACTTGGGACCCATGGCACAGGGGCTCCCGTACCCCAGGCTGTGTCCAGGCCCCCTCACTTTCTGGTGTCACTCCTCCCAAGCTCCTATCCCTTTAGTGCTCCCTTCCCCTGTCCTGTCAAGGGTGCTGATGCTAGGGAAGGGGCCATGAGTGTAGGGGTGTAAGGAAGCAGAGGCAGGGTGAAGGGACGAGCCTAAGGCTGAAGTCCCTCATGCCGGGATGGTGGTGACATTCAGAGTTCACCCAGGGGCCAGGCCCACATGCATGGAGTGGTAGCTTGACCAGCAAACAGACACGGGAGCAGATAAGCCAGGAGATGGATGGACAACGGACAGACAAATGGGCAGAAAGATGCTCAGTCAGATGGACAAGTTACATGGCCAGATAGAGAGATGGACAGTCACACGCATAGGAAGATGGATGGTGGGTAAACAGGCAGCTTGAAAGCTGGACACATGGATGGACAGGTGGACAAGCAACGTGAAGGCCAGCAGGGCACGGCTGGCAGCCGTGCGGCGGGGACGCTGGACGAGGTACCTTTGTTGGCGCAGGCCATCCACTGCAGGGGCGTGACGTCATAGTTGTGTTGCCCCACGGAGAAAGTGAACACGCGCACCTATTTGAGGCTTGAGGTTACTGCTGTGGCCACAAGAGGACAGCCCTCCCCGGTACTGGGCCCAGGTCGGGGGGGGCCCCCCACCTGGGCTGAGCCTCACCGTCCGGTTGGGCCAGTTGTACTTCTCAAAGACATCCTGCACGCGGTCCTCACCGCCGTCCGTGAACATCATGATCATCTTATTGCAGTTGGCACGGGTGATGTTGGACTGGTCGGGGGTAGGTTTGGGGTTAGCAGCTCTTAGCCCCTCCCTGGTCCAGGGTAAGTCTCCCTCCCCCTGGAAGGCCCGGCCCTCAGGCCCTCCTCCCCACAGCAGATGGTGCTATCTGCCTGAGCTGCCTGTTGGGCGCTAACAAGGCCATTCGTCTTGATTTCCCTGGTGTCACCAAGCCTGGGCCTTGGCCTGTCCCCAGCCACCCGCTCATCCACCCACGGCGCTCACGTTCTGCAGCTGGTCGAAGGCGTACTCAAAGCCGGCCTTGTAGCCTGTGGTGCCCTTGGCCACCATGCCCTGCACGGCCTCCTTGAACACCTTCTTGTTACGCACGTTGGCCTGCACCAGGTGTGTGAAGCATGACACAGGCTGCGCCTTTTCGTTGAACTGCAGGGACAGGGCGGGTGGTGAGTCACTGAATGCCCCCACCACTCAGGCTGGCCGGGGCATTCGGCACCGGGTGCGGTGACCCATTCCTCAGCCGCCCGCCACCTTGGCACTCACCGAGGCCACGTTCACATAATCGTCATCCGAGAGCGTGTCCAGCATCTCACAGACAGACGTCTTCATCAGCTTCAGGGTCAGGCCGCTCACGCTGCCACTCCTGGGAAGGTCATGGAGGTGCCAGGTAGGCCTCAGGTGTTCTGCTGTTCCCTCATGAGGGTCCCAGGCGGCAGATTCTCTCCCACCCCCACCCCTCCTGCAGGCATCGCTCACTCACACATCCACGATGATGACCATGTCCTTGGGCGACGAGGCCCCCTGGATGTACCTGCCCAGAAGAAGTGTCAGTTAGGGCCAGCCTCACTAGGACCTTGTGGGTCCTTTCTTCCTTCACCCACATATTGATTCAACGTGTTTCTACTGAGCATCCACCGCATGGGCCAGACAGCGTTCTAGGCACCGAGGATACCACATTTAATAAAACCATCCTGGGGCGCTGGGTGGCTCAGTTGGTTAAGCGACTGCCTTCGGCTCAGGTCATGATCCTGGAGTCCCGGGATCGAGTCCCACATCGGGCTCCCTGCTCGGCGGGGAGTCTGCTTCTCCCTCTGACCCTCTCCCCTCTCATGTGCTCTCTCTCTCTCTCGCTCTCATTCTCTCTCTCAAATAAATAAATAAAATCTTTAAAAAAAAAAAACAAACGGTCCTGGGGCGCCTGGGTGGCTCAGTCAGTTAAGTGTCTGACTACGGCTCGGGTCATGATCTCCGGGTCCTGGGATCAAGCCCCGCGTCACAGTGTCCCCTCTCAGTGCAGAGTCAGCTTGTCTCTCCCTCTGCCTCCCTCCCCCCGCCGCGTGTGCTCTCTTTGTCTCTCTCAAATAAATAAAGTCTTAAAAAAAAATGAAACTAAAACCGTCCTTGCTCGTTACATGAGTGACCTGGTCCCCCAGCACATGAACGAGCCCAAGGAGGGCTGAACAGGTGATCCAGAGAGGGGGCAGGAGGTATGTTCCCGGGCCCCAGTGCTTGCCATGTCCCCTGGCCTGGGACAAGGCTCCAAGGTCTGAGTCCTAGCTGTGTGTGGGATGGAACAGGGAGGGAGGAGGTCACGGGGTACCGCAGGAGAGGCAGAGCAGAGGGTGGGGTGTTCAGGGCTCAGATGGGGGGTGCGGGGGCTGGCGACCTGACAGAGGATATATCCACCCTCGGGAACCCCCACTGGCCCAATCCCTCAGTCCCGAGGGGGTGGAGTGCCGGGCAGTGGACGGGGGGCAGAGGCAGCTGGGAGGCCTGCCTGGGTGATGGGATCCATTTTCCAGTGGCAACGATGTGTGAAATGAAAATTGGATAGAGCTGGCTGCGCCCTGCTCCGAGTCCTGGATATCGGGAGGGAGGGGAGCGGGCGGCAGAGGTCAGGGGGATGGAGGGGGTGTCCCTGCCCAGCTCCTCCTTGCTCACTCACCAGGGTCTCCTTCGGACATCGTACAGGTCGATTTTCTTGGGGGCTCGCCATGGGGTGGCTGCGGGAGGAGAGAAGGCGAGGAGGGGGTCTGGCAGGGAAGGGCCTGGCCAGGGCCGGCTGGCCTGGCAGGAGTGGCTACTCCACAGCCCACAGGGTGAGCAACCACCCCACACGCCCCAGGATAAGTGGGCTGACTGACGGAGGAGGGTGGGTGCTGAGTGGACAGGAGAGATGGGCTGACACCCACCGGGATAGTAGCGAGTGACGCCCGTGGCACTTCCAAAGACCTGCCACAGCAGCGTGGGGTCCTGCCTGCGATTCTCGATGAACACATTCTCCAGGGCCTCTGTCCAGTTGAGTTCATTAAGGATGACAGTGGCTGTGGGGGAGACAGGGGGCGGGGGTGAAAAGTGCCCGGGCTGTCCCCCTGTTGAACCTCACCACGACGCCCATTCATGTACCCTGCACTTAGCGAGCTTCACCTGCTCTCTGCCTGGCGGGGCTCTCCTTCCTCAGGGCTCAGCTGAGGGCTGCATCAGCTCCTCCAGGAAGACTTCCAGGTCCTCAACCCCTCCCAAGCCAGCTTAGCCTACCCTTCGGCCAGGCCCCACGGGATCAGGCAGGGCAGCCGTGGCCTGTGGCCCCTGAGAGGGGCTGTCCAGGTGGCAGGGAGTTGTAAATTGGGATGCCCATCCAGCATGCTGCCTGGAGCTTGCAGCTGATCCCTTGGGAGCTCACCCACTCAGCATGCACTCCAGGCTGCCGCCACAAGAAAGCAATTAAGGGCCCAATGATGGGGCAGGGATTATTCAGCTATTAAGGTACCTGATAAGCTGGAAGCCACTCAGCTCCATGATTAATCAGCTGGGGCCAGGAGCAGGCCGGGGCGGGGGCGGAGGCTCTTGGAGGGGCAGGGGCTGTGCCACGATCCTGCTCCAACACAGGCACTTGCACACGTATACAACCTGTATACTCCCTGACACGTGTCTCTGCATTGGACCTCCGTGTTTCCAGCCAGGTGTTAAGAGTCCCTCGTCCTTGCACCTACCTGCCCAGCAGCCCGACTGCTGCCATGGGCACGGGGGCACGCATGCTCACACCTCCACAGCACGCTGCACCCATGGGAGGACAGCAGTGGGTCTTGCTCTCACAAGAGCAAGTTACCCCCACCCCCCCTTTCCCCTGACCTCTGTGGCGGCACACGTGTGATCCCCTGGCCGGACCCACCCCGACACACACTCACAGAGCGAGGCTTCTCTCAGACGAATGCGCTCGGTCCTGCAGATCGCTCAACCAGGGCGGAGACTCAGGATGGCTTGGGCAGCACCCCCATCCCCCAACTCAGGACAGCCCTAAATCTGGCCGATATGTGTGTGCGCACGTGCTCTCTCACGTGCAGCGAATCTGTCTCTGCGTATAGGACCCTCAGAGAAACCCGCCAGGGGCTGGCCACCTACTACTGCTGGGACTCTGTACCGAAACCCCCTCCCCCAGGGACTCTTTTTTTCCTCCAGTTTCTCCCACTTGCCTTTCTTCCCAGGCGGAGCCCTGATAGATCCCTATCACAGATCCACCCCAAGTAAGACTCAGAGAATGCCTTCCAAATGCTCGGCTCTTTGGAGCAGGGCCTCTGAACACTGAAACCTTTAAAGCAGGCGAAGAGCTGTGATTTAAAGAGACAAATGCGCAAGGTTCTGCCCATCACCCAGGGGGCGCGGACACATCCCTGGGCACGGGGCCCTCTGCTCTCGCCCTTCGCCCTGCAGTGTGGGGCCTTTGCTGCATCGTGTCTGCTGCCTAATCTCTCTCCCTCTGCTCCCACTCCCTTCTCTCTGTCCTTGTAGCTCCCCTTAACTGACCATAATGTGAAAACAAAAACACATTTCTATCATTGGCTGTGCCTATTGAACAGTATGTTATGGTCCCATTCCTAATTTAGAAACTTAGTGACTTGAACAATTTCTATTTTTCTCTTTAACGAAAAAAATAAAGCCGGTTCTCAAATGTTTCATACGGTACTGCCTGCCCTGGGAGAGTCTGCCTGGTGAGTCCCAACCCTCGCTGGGCCTCAGTTTCCCCATCCTCCCAAGGAGAGGCTTAGAGCCGACTGTCCCGGAAGCCCCTCTCGCTGCTGGCACAGGGGCATTTCTGACTCAGGTCAAGAGCCAAGAGCAGACCCCCGCCTCAGCGGGGCTGTCCCCGTGGGTATCCATGACCACACGCACACACCTGCAGTCACTGTGAGACACACTTGTGCAAACACTCCGGCCTCCCCGCCTGGAGGGGGCCTGCTACTCAGCCCCACGTGCACACACCCGCACCCACGTGCACACTCAGATCACGCTGAGCTGGGAAACGGGGACCATGCCCCCTCAGGCAGGCGATTACAGATTTAATTAAAAGTGACACAGTAAATAAAAAACATATAAAATGTAATTTGTGTGGGTAGCGAGGGGTGACATGGGAGGGCGGTATGGCTCCTGTTTTAATTAGCGTGCCTGCCTGTGATAGTCCTCCTCGACTGGCTTGGGCAGGTGGCCTGAGGGAGGCCTGTGGCAGGGACGGCAGGGGTGGGGGCAGCACCTATCCCCACCCCTGCCTGAGGCTGCCTAGAAGTCCTGGCTGACCCGAAGGGTGGAGGGGGGCCTTCCTGAGGCCCCTGCAGGATTCCCTGCATTCTGGAGACTACCCAGAAACTCTGGGACCTGTGTTCCAAGACCCTCCACCCAGGGGGCCCCTTGGAGTCCGAGGTTGCCTTGTACTTGCTCACAGAATTATGCCCAAACCACCAGACCCCAGGGCCCTGAAGCCCGCTGCTAGAGCTCTCTCTGTAGTGCTTGACTCGGTCTCTTCCCCCTACACCTCCCAAGATCTTCAGGAAGTTCCTTCCCATGTCTGACTCAAATCCTTCCAGCTGTAGTGACTTGGTTTCCCCACTGTGCAAAGCTGCCCTGCCCCTGGACAAGGAGGGAGATGCTCCAGGGCTGGCGTCCGTGAGTGAGGGACTGCTCCCTGTTCCCCCAGCCCCTGTGTTCATCTGATGTGGTAGCTCCTCAACCATTCCTACACGCGGCCTGGGAATGGGGGACGGTGGGGAGAAGCTGCTCTGGGGGCACGTGGGGCACATGTGTCCACAGGGGCAGGAGACTGTGCGTGTACAGCGGTGAGAGTCTGAGTGTTAGCGTGAGGCCATGCCTGAGAATGACTTGACGCCTGCGTGTGGACGTGGGTAGCAGGGGCTGAAGGCAGACGGCACTGGCTGAGCACTCAGGGCTTGGCAGTGCCCAGGCCATGGGCCTTGCTCCCGTGCTGGCTGCGGAGGGCAGTTTCTGATCGCTCTGCACACTCACAGCCTTTGTAGATGTCCGTGGGGATCTGCACGGCCGTGTACGAATAGTTGACTTTGTTCTTGAAGTTTGAGTCCTCAACGAAGTCCAGCCTGAGGGTGCTGACCTTGGACCCCCTCTCCACATCCTCACTCTCAGGGTCATCCTGCAGAAAGGGATCCCCCCCACCGCGGTCATGTCAGGGCTAAAAAATGGTGGAGTGGGGTCAGACAGCTCTACAGGCAGGAGAGGGCCAGAGTCTAGGTGATAGGGGCATCTTAGAATCAGAGACGGGGAGAGATGGAGAGACACAGGGACAGATGGACAGGGGGTATGGACCCCTCCCCCAGGAGGCTTGTGACTCCCACCTGCCCCTGGCCACCCCACCCACCATCCCTACATTTGATAAACCCAAATTCCAAAACCCAAACCAAACTTCCCCACAGTCTTAGAAACCAATTATCAATGAAGGAGATTAAGTCCCAGTGAGAAAGAGCAGGCTGCACACCTCTGCTTTCAAGGACGGGTTTGTGTGATCCCAGGGAGGCCTAGGCAGCCCTTCCCAGGAGCCTTGGGCACCCCCCCCCAACGGGGCCGCCCATCCCCTGCATGGAGTTCCTTTGGCACCAGTGAGAGGGTCCTTGCCCCCTCTGGGGGAGGGTCACCACCCCCTCAGCAGGTGGTGTAGGGGCTGAGTTTGTGGGGGGAGAGCTGGGCTGGGGTGGGGGCTAGCATTGAGACCCCGTAACTTCCAGAGGGAGGGTCCTCAGCGCTTGCTAGCAGAGGGACTGCAAAGGCCCCTGTTGACTTTCTAAAATGAGCTGCAGCCGTCTGACAGGTGCCAATTACAGCATCTCTCGGCCGAGCAGGCTGGGCATGCGCCGTGCACCCCCGCCCACCACCACAGGCTGGCAGGAACGGGTCTGCCGCTACAGTGCTGATGCCGCAGCCGAGCGGCGGGGGTGGGGTCGGGGGGTGGGCAGGCATGGGTGCAGGTGTGCAAGGGGGAGGGGAAGATGGTGGTAGAGAGTGAAGAGGAAGGCAGGGAAGAGCCAGGCGGGGAGGAAAGGAGGGATGGAGACCAAGGCAGGGCAGGGGCAGAGCTGGGGGCCTTGTGCCCCCGGAGGAAGGGGTGTAAGCAGCTGGGCCATCTGCATGCCCCCTCACTGCCTCTCAACCCGTGTGATCACGGTCAACACCAGGCTCAGCTCATTTCCACCCCCTTGTGGCTCTGCAGACCCCACTGCTCATTGGGTCCTGGGCACACCCGCTATGTTCCTGCCTCCCGCTGCATCTTGTCTGGGGAAAGAGTGATCGTGCCTCCCTACCCAGCCAGATGTGCTCTGCCCACCCCAGGAGTGCTCCGGGTCTGTCCTCCAGCCTGGGGAATGAATTACTGCCTGGGTGGGGCCGCAGCAGGCGGCCCTGAGAGGGTCTGCCACAAGGACCCTTGGCGTCTCTTCAAGGGTGGATTCTGTACAGCAAAATCCAAGCCATCTGCTGCCCTCCCCTTGCCCCCTCACCCCCTCACCACGTGTGCGACTCTGCCCACCTCGGCACACCCTAGGAGGACCCTCAGAAGCTCAAGGATGCTGGGTAAAGCTGGGGCAGGCAGCTACCCAGCCTGCCGCCTCTGAGGCGTGAGCCACTCACGTTCCGCTTGCAGGAGGGGGAGGTGCGGGAGAAGAAAGCCCCCGAAATGTCAGCAGCAGATGAAGGGCGCTGGAAAATTTAATCTCCCAACTTTCCCAACTAATGTGACATTTGGATTCCGTTCTGATAAGCTATCAGCTGGCGAACTTTTTCCTTCCTTCTCTTTCCCCCACCCCCACCTTCTGGCTGGTAATTTAAAAGTAAATGGTCTAGAAAGATCTCTAACTGTACCTCTGGCAAAGATTAAAAAAACAAAACAACACAACAAGCAGGGGAGTCGGCAAATGTGTTCATGTCAAATTTTATAGAGGGCCAGGCTTTTGGCCTGCCCTTAGCCCAGCCCCACCCAGGGTGCCTCTCCCTCCTGGGGCTGTCCCTACCCCCTTGAGGGGCGGGGGGGGGGGGGAGCATTGCAGGGAATCAGTGATTTAGAGCTAGGGGGCGGGGGTCCTGGGCACAGGGAGTTCAGGGGATCCTGGCAGGGGTCTGGGCACCAGAACAGCCAAGGAGCCTCTTAGCGCCACCCCCATGCCCAGGGGTTTTGTACGGTGGGCAACTGCAGTCTCCTGGTTTATATTTAATGCACTGATTGCTAAAATTACAGCCTGCTGCTGAGGGGGGTAAGGAATTAGATTCAGGGTCTAATTAAAGGTTCGCTCTTCATTTGAATTTCAGATTCCAGCTTTAATTTTAGCAACTTCTCTGGGAGCCACGGAGGCTCAGCCAAGGGGGAAGCACACCTGCTTTAGCCCACCCACCCCTCCTTCTCCAGCCCCCTGCCTGCCTGCCCTCCTCAAGGCTCACCCAGGCTGGCCTGGCACCACCGACCCTCTGCAGGGTTCCCTTCCTGCCTGCCCACCTCCAGGGGCACTGTCTACCTCCCGCTCACCCCAGGAAATGCCCCCGGCCAATGAGCCCGGGAGAGGACCCCTGGATTTGGGGTCTCCCGCCCCAGCCAGAGCAGGTGGGACCCCAGAGACTGAGCTGTTACGACACCTCTGTTTACAGAGGAGATAGTCAAGTTCAACTACATTTGCCTCCAAGGCAGGCAGATGGACTTGGGCCTTAGCAGGTTCACCAAACACTGTGCACTCTGTGTGCCCTGCCCTCTCGGACACTCTTGGCTCCTCTGTAGGTCCCCTGCTACCAAAACGGTCATACGGCTTTCACGCGAGGCCTCCGGAGACGGGGCGCCCAAACACCCACGAGACAGTCAGGGGCGCTGAGACGGGAGCAGTGAGGGTCTGGGCCGTCCAGCGAGCCCTCGCGCCATCACTGCCAAGCCAGTGACCCCAGCAGAGCCCGAGCCCCGTCCTTCATCTGGGGAACGGGCACACAGCTGGGCTGCCTCTGCAGCGGGGGCAAGCCTGACCGAGCTGGTGGGAGCCCCGACGGTGGGGCCAGCTGCGGGGGGCTCAGCACACGGAGGTACCTGCACCACGTGAGTCACACCACAGCCCCGTCCCGGCCCTGCCTGCCCACCTCCAGGAAGCCCTCCGCGCTGCTCCCTCTCTCCTCCGCTCCCACAGTGCCCAGCCTCCTCCATGCTGGCACCTGGACTGACCCACGGGAGGAGATCCACGCCTCACTACCAGCCTGGGGTCGGGCCCAGGGCCTGCGCCACCGCTACTTTGCAGGGTGACCTCAGAATGTGGGAGGGCGCTGAGACCTCACACCCATTTCACAGCTGCGGCTACTAGCCAAGGGACGGTGTGGGGCTCTGTCAGCTCTCCTCCCCCCAACAGGGGTAGGGCACTCACCAGCTCAGCGTCGGCCTTCGCATCGTAGTACAGGATATCTTCCTCCTGGGGGGAGAGAGAGGCCTTGACCCTCACAGCTCCCCACAAGGCTGCTTGAGGTGCAGCCGGGGCCCCCGCCCTGAGGCCCCCACCCGGATCCAGAGCAGCCTTGGGGAGGGCTGGCTGAATTAGGCTGGGCATGCCCACCCCCGCCCCAGACAGACACCCCCTCAGGGGCCCTCACAGGCTCCAGGGGCATGTGGCACCCCAGGTTGGGGGGGCCTCCCGGGGGCTCCCTGACTCCAGGACCGCTGAGAGGCGGGGTCAGAGCCAGCCTGTGTGCGGAGATTCTGGCTGAGGCAATACCAGGGGAGTGAGGAAGATGGGAAAACAGAGCCGAGTCTGGGCCAGAGTGAAATGACTCGACACCGCATCTTCCAATTTCTTCTACTAAAAAGCCTGCTCATTATGGGCATGTACTTATTAATTATCTGTGATTTGTTGTGAAATGCAAGGGGGTTTACACAACAGGAGCGGGAAAAAACAAAGCCCGGCCCCCCCGCCTGCCTCCCCGGCCCGCCGGTGCGCACCCCACCCATCCCGGCCTCGCTCGCTTGCCCGAAGCCTGGGTTCTTGGCCATCTGCGCGTCATCATCACCGGCCACCCCGGGGACCCGTAACACAAACGGGCTAATTTCATGTTTAATGATCTTTAATCAGAACTGAGCATGGCTGACAGAGGCCTCCAGAAGGTGAATCTGGTGCCCTCAAGTGCCACTGGCCCCTCTCCTGCCCCTATGGGCTCTAGGGTCAGGACACAGGAGAAGGCCACCGTCCGAGTCACCCTCCTCTAGCGCTCCTCAGTGCTGTCTTGTACCGCAAACACCTGGTGCGTGGCCCTGGCAGCCTGTTTCTTTGTGGTCGAAAATGGGGGTGCTGACCAAGTGTGTGCTCCCAGCAAGCACAGAGCCAGTACTTACTCTCTGGGGGGCAGAAGTCACCTTGGCCACCCCTTTGCTGTGTGACCTCAGGGCCGCACGGCTCCTCAGGCTTCAGCGAGGGGGCTTGGCCTCGGGGACTGCCCGTGTGCTGGGCCTGAGGCTGTAGTTTAAGGTGGTCAGTACGGGGGCTTGTTGTGGGGACAGTTGTGAGTTGTCTCCCACCAGAGGTCTGGGGGGCAGAGACCACTGGCTGGACCCGTAAACCCAGTCTGAGCATTTCTGCAACATCGACTCCATGCCTGGCACCAGGCTTGGGCAAGACCACAGCAGCTGGATGGATGGAAGACCGGAAGCGACTTGATTGCTTCGGTCACCAGAGGCATCTGCTGCGTCCAGCGCTTCACACATGCTGGGTTTACGGGGCTCCTCCAGGAGCCCTGCGACCCTCCCCCTCATACAGATGAGGACACGGCAGGGGTAAGAGAGGCCTCGCACCCACGCTCCAACCCGCCTTCCCATTGCATCTCCAACCTTTGCCGCACCACCCACCAGGCAGGAGGACTGGAGCGCAGGTGGGTGCAGGGTGGGGGCCGGGGCCCAGGCTCCAGGGTGCTCGGCCTTCCCTTGCGCCCGGCTCCAACCAAAGCACATAATGAAAGCTGACGTTATATCAAACACAATAAGGAGTTTCGGTTGATGAAGATCATTCCTGAACACACAAACCCATTAAACCGAGGGGAAAAAATATCAATTCAACACACTCGCTGGCAAAAAGAAAATGTGATTTGCTATCTAAAAGGGGGTTATAAACACGGCTCTGATGCTCTTTCCCTCCGTAATGAAAACAGGCGGGCGTGGTGGGACGACTGCAGATTAGAACATGGGGCTTCACTGGCCAACTTTTTTTTTTTTTTTAAGATTTTATTTATTTGACAGAGCGCAAACAGAGGGAGAGAGAGGGAGAAGCAGGCTCCCTGCTGAGCAAGGAGCCTGATGTGGGACTCGATCCCAGGACCCTGGCATCATGACCTGGGCCGAAGGCAGCCGCTTAACCGACTGAGCCACCCAGGCGTCCCTCACTGGCCAACTTTTTAGGCAAACCTCCTGCAAGGACAGGAAAGGGCACGGGTGGGGGTCGGTAACTCTGGGGCCCCCAGGAGACACACGCCCCTCTCACAGGCCGGGCTGGGTCCTGCCTGCACTCGGGCAACCCCTGGGCAGCTGCCCCCATGGCTCCCTTTGTCTTTTTGTCCTGCAGTCTCATGGTCTCAGCAGAGGACCAGATGCTGGTGGCATCAGTGACACAGGGGAAATGTGTCATAGAAGAGGATGCCAGTGCCCTGCAGACAATGGGTGAAGCTCAGGAATCTGTATGCGGTCCTTGTCCCCCAGGGTCCTTGTCCCTACCTCTCCTACCTTGAAAGGGCCAGGCCAGGCCCCTTCCTTGGTACAGAGAGGATTAGCATGGGATGGTGGCAGGCAAGGTCACATGTGTGAAAACACGTTGTAAACACAGCTGTGGTCTCTATGCTTGATGCGGTGTGGAGCTGGGGGTGTGAGAGAATGGGGCCATCAGGGTTGGAGTTGGGGGGATCACTGGAAAGGCCTCTGCGTCTGCTTTGGTCTGCCCAGTGCCCCGTGTCCACCATTACTCTCCTGCCGTGGTTAGACCACAAGGACGTGGTGCCTAGCGACTGCACGCAGGGGCCTTGGCAAAGGGTCTTGGCCTCAAATCCTGACCTGAACATGCGTGCTCTGGGATCCCGAATGGTGAGTGAAGACTGAGCCTGAAGCCTCCGAAGTCCCCAGTGGCCCCAGGACTACTCCTGGGGGTCACCCCCGTCTCATCAAGGAGGCAAGGGTGCCTGTTAAATCCTGTAGCCTCGGTGAGGCTTTCCTTCAGGGTCTTGATTTCCCACTTACAAAGGTGGGATGAAGATGCCCTACAGAGGCAGGGAGCTGGGCCTCTCCAGGCGCTGGGGCCAGCCCTACCTGTGGGGGCCCTTATGTTTGCAACTCCAGTCCTGGGAGGGGCCGGAGGGTGGAGAAAACCCTCTGGTTGGGGAGAAATGGGCATTGTTAATGTCTGGGGTCCACACCCAATGCCCCCTTCTGCTATTTTAGGGGCCATTTTGCTCAAACTTGGCAGGGGGTAGGGGGAATCACCCTTCTGAACTCACATTTCTCCCCCTTGTGGATTTCTGTATGACGGATAACACATGAAGGGTGGGGCTGGGGGGCCCACATGGCCTTTGTACAGACGACACATACCCTCTCCTTAGCTGGAGCTGAGCCCAAGAGAGAACACGAGGGGTGCCGGCAGGTGGGAAACAGGGCGAGGAGGTGAGCATGGGGTAAGCATGGGGAATAGCAGTTGGTGCCTATGTCTGGTACTATGGGGTACGGTGAGGATGACTGGCCTTCCTGCCCTGGCCCACGGCCAGCTCAGCTCAGCCAAAAGGACTGTTTTCTGAGAGAGCCGTCTGTCGCTGGCTTGGCAGAGAGGCAGGCAGCAGGCCTGATGGCTGGGGCAGACCTCAGGCCGGGGAGGCCACCTGTCCTGTCCAGCCGGCTCCTCTGGCCTGGTCCAGCCTTCACAGTCTTCCTTTTAGGTTCCCAGACAGAGCTGCCTCTCCCATCAGACCCCCCAGGGTAGGGCTGTGTCTCCCGCTTCAGACTCCCCAGGGTAGGACTGCTTCCTCCCTTAGACTCCCAGGGCAGCCCTTTGTCCCCTGCTGGGCCAGGTGTTGGCACTGAGGCCCTGCGGCCAATGGCCTCTTCTGCCTCTTCCACCCATGCCCTGGCCCAGCTCCTCCCTGGTGGTGGTCCAGACAGCAGATAATGCCGGCACAGTGTGGTGCTGGGCCAGGCACGGTGTCCAGCAGGCGGGCCATCTTCATCTCCCCTAAGTGTTATGGGCACCAGAGCACCTGCTGCCTGTCTGCGGGGTCAGGGGACGTGCTGCCTCTCACAGGGGCCATGGTTTCCCTGGGGTCCAAGGGCTGTGGCCAGGCTGGGGTTCCCTGCGTCTGCCACAGCCAGTGTGTGGGGTCATGGCCTGAGACTAAGAGGGGAACAGGGGGCCTTCATGTCCAGACCTCTTTCTCTCTCTCGTGCCGTCTCTGAGCCTGTCGACCCCAGGATCCCCCAAGTGCCTGGGCTGGCGTTGGTGGTGTGTGTGAGTGTGGATGTACTATACCACTGTCCACTCCTCAGAGGTCTGCATGTAGACCTACTGTGTGCCGCTGGCATAGGGAGGACCATACCCTACTGATCACACAGTGGATTCCATGTGCCAAGCATCTCCTCTGTGCCCAGAACTGCCAGGTGCCAATCTCCCATCTCAGAGGTAAGAAGACCGAGGCCCAGCTGCTCTCGGCCAACCTATCCACAGGGCACTCGGCTGGGCACATGGACAGATGGTGGACAACACTGAAGCAGGTCCGACTGCTTCTGGCCTAGAGGAGTCTTGAGTGGGGCAGACAGATGAGTCCACTGGGATACTGGCCTGGGGCAGGCTGCACTGGGAACTGTCAGTGTTGGGGGCTCCCGAGATGGATGCTGGGGGCCGTGGGGGCCAGTCCCGGGCTTGGGACTCAGAAAGAGGAGCCCTAGGGAGTGAACTGGAGAGGGAGAGGCATTGCCCTTTTGAAGGAGGAGGGCAGGGCATTCCTGGGCCAAGGCCCGGCTTGCGTAAAGGGCCTGAGTTTGACACTGGTGTTGCGGGTCTCCAGAGCGCCCCATGGAGGAACATGCTCCCTATCTGTACCTCCTGAAGGTCATTGGGAAGGACATGGTCTCAAGAGTGGGTGGTATGCCTGCAAGCGACAAAGACGCCATCCCTTTCCCAGCCTCAAGGCCCCGTATCCCCCTGGCATGCACAGTCCCCACCTGCAGCTGCCGCCAGTGCCCCCCCCACTCCCTCCCCAACTCAGGGCAGGCTGGCGAGCCAGCTAATGGGCCCGCCGTAAGCCCTGGCGATGCCTTTCAGCCAGGCAGCAGGGTGACTGCAGGGCTTCTGGGGAAGAGCGGGGCCCTGACCCTACAGCTGGGAAGGAGGGGGTGATTCTAGCTCCGCCCTGCCCGAGATACAGACAGACGCACAGCTGGACGGACTGAGGGGGAGGCCCGGTGGTCACTTCCACAGCTGGGGGCCTCCCAGGTCGTGTCGAGGGGAGGGGGCCAGCCAGAGCCCACTCCTGCCTCATCTCAGGACAGGAGCGCGCAGGGCCGGAGACGCCCTACACTCTCACCACCTTGGCATCTCTATGCCCGGACGTGTGCAGTGGCCCTTTTCGCACACCAGGCCCGGGCCAGCAGGCAGCATCAAACACCAGAGTCCTTTGCCAGATGGGAAACTGGAGCCCAGAGAGGGGCAAACCCTTGCAGGGCCCCGTGGGGACTCGGTGAGCAGGGAGCACATTGTCTCCAGCATCACCTGTCTCAGCATTCCCGGATGCCCCTGAGACCGTGGTCCCCCTTCCTGGCAGGCCCCCATGGTGCCCACTCTGGCCTGGGGTAAGCTGTTCCTGCCTCAGGGAGTAGCTGAAAATCAGGGGTCAGGAGTCTGGCTGGATGATCCTTGTAAATTTTGGGTTTTCTGCCGAGTCAGGAAAAGAAAATAGGTTTGGGGCTAAGGCGGCCTCTTTGTCTTCTTGTCTGGGGCCTGGACTGGGAGGGAGAGAAAACCAGGCTGAGGGCGGGTCTTTTCATTCCCTTGTTCCCTGTTCCTTCACTCACTGTCCCGTGTCAGCTCTGCACACGGTCCTGGGTAGGGAGAGAGGACGCAGATATGTCAGGAACAAAGGAAGGGCCGGAGTAGGGGAGGCATGGGGGGGTGGGGTCCTGGATGGGCAGAAGCTGGAGGGGCTGATGGACTGGGCCATGGGGGTGGCCTCACTGGGAAGGGACAGACAAGCCGGGCCGCTGGGAGGAACACAAGGCATTCGGGCAGAGATCAGGAATGGGCCTGGAGTGAGGTGTTCAGCATGGCTGGGGCACAGGGGGAGGTGGGTGAGGAATGAGGTGGCCAAGGTAGGCAGGAACAGCCAGATCAGGGCTGGACCTTGAAGAGGATTCGCCCGGGCGGGTGCTGTTTTATTGGTGGCAGCGTGATCTGAGTGGTGGGTGGGAGCACCGCCACCACGCTGTTTCTGATCAAAGGGCTGAGGAGGCACGGGGACCCGGGGATGGGTGGTGGTGTTGGAAAGGGAGGAAGAGAGAAGGGTGAGTCTTGAGCTCCTGGGGAGGCGGGGTCTGTCCAAGGAGTCATCCACTCATTTATGTGTCCACTATAAACAATCACCTGTTAGCTCCAATCCCACCTGAGCTCCCTGAGGGTAGCACCCAGCACTGACCAGGAAGCAGAGGAAGGATGCCATGGGGTGGGCGAGGCAGGGCAGGACTCAGGATGGCCTGGCGGGATGGAGGCCAGGGATGAGGAGCAGACAGGTTCAGGGGGCCTGGATCATAGGCATGAATCCCCTGGGACCTGACAGCCTGGCTGTGAATCTCTGCCACCAGCAGGGCCTACCCCACCTTATTAGGCCCCGGGTCTCCGCAGGCAGCCCTTGGCGCCTCTCCCTGTGGGTAGCACAGAGACCCCCAGGAGGCATGGCTCAGATGCCTGGGCAGCTGTGGAGGACACACGAGCCCTGCTAACTGGCCTGGTCCCTGAGGGTTCCATCATCCCTGGCATTGGGGGTTCCCTGGGTCTGGGAGGAAGCCTGTCTCAGTTTACCTTCTGGCTTACTGAGACCCTCTGAGATGCTGGCCTGATGGAAAGGGTGCAGGTGTGTCCAGCCCCCCCCCCCCAAAGCAAACACAGCTGCCTGCATTTGTGAGGGCCACCTGTGTTTGAGACTGGCAGTCAATGAGGGTTCCCTTCCTTCCCCCACATTCTGGGCCCTTCTGCCCTCAAGAAGAGACCTACTACCACCTTCTCACCCCTCCACTCCCTTGGCACCTGGGCTCCTTCTGAGCTCTCTTGGTGGAAGGAGAGGCTTCTGTGGCTGTCACAAGCATGGTCCCTGATCCCAGTCGGACAGCCTCCTGGAAGACAGGCTGCTGTTCAGGGAAGTCCCAGGAAGGGGACAGAGTCCCCCTTTGGCAGTGACTCTTCTAGGTCAGTGTATTACAGTCTGAAAGGTCCTGGAGTCAAGGGACTTCTTTGCCCTAGGGTCTCTCCAGAGTCTGGGCACATCCTTAACCTCCAAGGCAACACCAACTTTGGGGAGCATCACTTTAGAGTGGCCTGTCTGCCCTTGGGGGACCCCACAGCTCCTCTAGGGTGGAGTGAGTGGTTCATATCTGCACCCTGTGTCCCAGCACTGAGGGGAGCCTCAAATGTTTGCTGAAGGCTGGACTAAGGTTCCAGGCTCCCCTCCACAGAGCCCTCGGTGCTCCTCCAGTGAGTCTGGGCAGCGCCCCCTCCCCCAAATTCACATCTACCCTTGCTGGGGGTGGGCAGGTCATGCGGGCTGGGGCGGGCACTGCAGTTCTTACCTTGATGTTGTCCTGCCAGCGGTGGGCTTTCTGGAAGTTCTCTGCGGCGTCGGCCAACCTCTGAGGAACAGAGCACAGGGAGGTCAGAGGCTGAGGAAGGCCCATGCCCAGCCCCAGCCCTCTCCATCCTTAGTGCTCCCTGGAGCCAGGCTGGCTCAGGGACTCCCTTGCCCCATGCTGCCTCCTCCGGGATTCCTTGGCCCCAGACCTTTCCCAGCTTGCTGTGTGAGCCCCTCCCCCACCCACAGCTGGGTTCACGTAGGACAGGTGAAGCCTGCACAAAGTGACCTGAGTGGCATCTCCATGGGACTCCCTGTACTTCAGCCCCCCACATCTCCTGCCCACAGGATGGCAGGGAGGCCCCCAGGACGCAGTAGGACCCAGGCCCTGGAGTCAAGCCCCGTTGCCCCTCTACCTCGGATAAACCAGTGTCAAGCCAGTGCCAAGAAGAGGCCCTCCCTAGTCAAGGGTGAACTGCCACAAGGGCCAGGCGTGCCTTGCTCATGCGTCTTTGCCACCAGCTGCTCAGGGCTTGGCAGGAGGTGCCCTCAGCGCATCTCACACACCCAGGCCCACTACCACCGTCCCTGTCCCAGCTTCCTGAGCCCCTTCCCAGCACGGCTCTCCAAGCCTCTGTCCACACAAGCCTGGCCATCCCTTGGGGCTGGTTCCTGCACTCTCCTCCATCACGGCCCCTCTGCGTGTGAGCAGTCCTTCTATCCCACACCCTGTTACCGCCATGCCTGGCACCAGACCGTGCTGATGTGCGGAGATGTGGTGGGCCAGCCCTGCCCTCTCACGGTCTAGAGGAGGAAACAGATACGAAACTGGGTAGAACCACCAGAGCAGGAGAAGCTGAAGTGCTTCGAGGAAGCTGAGTGCTATGGGAACTTGGGGCATCGGGGAGAGCTTCCTGGAGGAGATGTTGGTACTCTGCCACCCTCAGGGCCTGAACCCCGGCTGCCCAGAGATTCTTATTTTGCGACTCTGTGGATCCTGTCCCTCCAGGAACTCTTGGGACTCCTAAAGATGGCCCTCTGGGGCCTCCCGCAGAGCTGAGTGTAGTGAAGTCCTGTTAATCATATTGACAACTGTCACCACAAACTGGTCACTTGCCGCATGCCGAGCCTGCCACCAGGCCAGTGACACATCATGTGTAGCTGTCTCCATTCATGCCTGACATGTCTTCCTCAGATGAGGAGACCCAGGCATGGAGGCAGTAAGCAGCCTTCCCAAGGTCACGGCGTGGGTCAGGCTGGGGCCCTGAGTCTGGCCCAGCCCATGACCAAGGTCTGAAGGCACCTTCCATGGGCCCACCATGCCTGGTGAGGGACAGGGCAACTCTTGTGGGGGAGGGGCTCTGGTCTTCCACCCCTGCCCTACTCCATCCCATGGGTGGAGCAGTGGGTCCTGCCTTCTGGCCTCCAGCCCTCACTCAGAAGGCCCTGGCCTCTTGGAATTTAGGACACACACTCCCATCCATTAGTCCAGGCCTGGGGTGGCATGTGGGCCCCAGAGGGGAGGTTCTAACAGAGCCTGGCAGCTGCCCATGAGGGAGAAATGGGGGTCGGGATTCAGGAGACTGGTTTTCTTCCCTCCCAGCATGGAACAGGGTGGTATGGCCTATGTTCTCTGGGGTATGGCCTATGTTCTCTGGGGCGGGATGTCACCTCAGGCAGTTAGAGGGACTGACCAGGACCATCCTCACTCCCATTGGGCCTAGCTCCCCCTCTTCCTCAGGCCAAGAACAATGAATGCTGGGAAGACTGTAAGGCTGGGGGTCTTGGGGACAGGGTAGGAAAGTCTCTCTTGTCCAACCCCCTCACTTCACAATGTTGGGCCCCTCCTGGCCTCCAATTCCCTCTCCTGCTACCCCACCTGATCTTTGTAGGTTCTATTCTCTGCCCACCTGTTATGCAGTGCCTGCTTGGGGCGGCCCACCCCCCCCCCCGACCCAGCTTCGGGGACCACAGGCCTCTATACTCCCAGACACCTCCCATACCTTGCCTCCAACCCCGGCCCCTCCTGGGGTCCTGGACACCTTCCTGGGGTGACCCTCAGGCCCACTGGAGCGCATCCTGTCCCCTCTTGGAATGAATCCATCCATGCTAGACCCCTACCACCTACATCTTACCCATGCTATCACTCAGATCACCTACTGTCCTTCCTCAGGCTCCTGTGTCCTCTCTCGCCCTTTGTCATCTATTCTCCACATGTGGATCCAATCTGGTGGCCACCCTTTGCCCCTAAGCCCTTCATCAGCTTTCTTGAGGTCCCGAGGGGTCCACCTGCGCTTCCCCCTGGGGCCTCTTCTTAGCCTAAACTACAAACACCCCTCCCCTGACCCCGACCCCCAGGATGCGTGCGGCCCCTGAATCGCAAGGCTGCAGCGTTCCTTTGCAGAGGACATCGCTATGTGATATGCACACACAACACTTGTCATTGCAGTTAACTGAGCACTCCTGTGCTAGCTGAGCACCTGGGCTGGATGAGAGTGCGAGAAGCCTAGGGGCAGCCCGTGGGGCCGCACCTTGAGGGGTGAGCCTTGGGCAATCTCTTCATGCCCCTTTTCCTTCCCCAGTGGCCTGCTACCTTCCTGGGGACCCCAGACTTTTCTCAGAGGGGGCCTGAAGCCCACGTGGGGCTCCACTGAGGCCGCTGCCCTTCACAGGGGATGAGGCGAGGGCGGGGCGTGGGGATAACCAGATCAGGCCTCCTGCCTCAGGAAAGTCCCGGGGCTCATGGGGCTGCAAACACCAAACTGACACCAGCTGAAGTCTCCAGCTGGGCCGCAGCCTCGAGGAGCCGGCCTCTCCTGCACCCAGCTCCCCGCCGGCCAGGGGCGCCGGCTGCTTCGGCCTCTCAGGGCTCAGCTCCATCCACGGGATGCACGGGCCCAAGGACCAGGGCTCCCTAGCGGAGTGGCCACGGTGAGGGAGACCCAGGGAGGGGGGCCCTGGCCCCTAGCCTCCTCGAAGTCCCAGGGGCTCAAAGGCCCGGGTCAGCCCGCTGACTCATGAATAACGGAGCTGCAATAGCCACAGCAAAAGGATTACGTTTAATCCTCAGTAACGATCAAGCCATTATTATTTGTTCGGTGTTACAGATCAATCAGCCCATCCCCGGGCGCTGGACGTGTGGAAACTGCTAAACACACAGGCCTGGTGGTGCAGGAGGAAGGGTGGAGGCAGCGGAATGGGGGGGGAAGGGGCAAGCTGTGGCTGCTGGAGGTCCCACCGGGTCTGAGGGGGTGAGAGGAGAGGCCCACTGGCATGCCTGAGGGGCCCCAAGCAGTGATCTGAGCCTGGACTCCCGGAGCCTCGGAGCCCGGGCCTGGGTTCAAATCCTGGCTTTCTTGAGTAAGTGCCTTCCCCTGCTGGCCCTCAATGTCTTATCTGTAAATTGGGGATAGGAACTGTACCCACTCAGAGGGTGAGTAGGTTCTTGGCAGCCCCCTTGCTCCGACCCCCAGAAGCTGCCCAGAGGGACCAGTCCCCTGGGGTGTCTCTTGCTGTCTCCAAGCACGAAAGGCTCTTGCCCACCTCTGGGTCTTCCTCTGTTATCCACCTTCTGCCTGGGACGTGCTCCCTATCACCTAAGTCAGCCCTATCAGACTGTCACCTCCCCTGGACGCCTCCTTTTGCCCTTGCCCAGTCCCCGGGCTCCCCTACCCTGTCAGGCACTCAGAGCCTTGGGCTCCCGTCTCCACAGAGCCCACAGCCCTGCTCAAGGCTGTCTGGGAGATGTGCTCGCAGCCTCACCCTGCCCTAAGGTTCATCCTCCTAGAGCATCCCCCCTACCTCTCCTGGCTCCTTATGATGGCCTCCGCGCAGGCAGGATGGGGAAGGAAACTGAGGCCCAGAGTTGAAGACAGAACCACCTGTGGGTGGGCCCACGGCTTGGTCCCATGTCCAAGATACTGCCTGTCTGGGGAGAGACGTGCTCTATTCTCGCCCCTCAGCCACCGGCAGCCTCTGATTCTCCTGCTACCAGGCCCCTGCACATTCTGCTTTTGTGTCTCATCACTAGACTCCTCAGCGGGTTCGTTCCCTCACCCTTGAGGTGTTAGCCTAGGCCTTCTCCTCCTCCTAACTACTCCCTGACCCCTGCCAAGACCCCATCTGTCCCCATCACATCTCCTTGCTTTCTTCCTTGGGCTCTGAGCTTGGTGAGGGCCGTATCTGGCAGCTGTTAGCTTTACAATAACCTGGCCCCTTGCGCACAGTAGGTGCACAGTGAACATCCACGAACTTAAGGTCAGAGTATCTCTGAACCTGGGCGGAGACCCGGGCAGGAGTGTGGCTCTGCCAGCCAGCTGTGTGACCCCGGGTGGGTGACTTAACCTCTCTCAGCCGCTTTTCCTCATCACATCGTGGAGGGTTAGGGTGGCCCATGAGGGTGACACTGACCCTGCTGCAGAGCTGCTGGTGTTGGCTGGCCTGGCCCGACATGTCCCCATCGTGGCCAAGGCGTTGGAGGGAACCATGGTGGGACCGCTGAGCAGGGCTGCTCACGGCCAAGTCCATCACCGGAACAGCAGGCATTTCAGAGGCAATTATCAGAGAGTTTCACTTAACAATCAGTTTCCCTCAGCTCCGGCAACTGTTCTTACAGGAAAAGGCAGGAAAGGAGGACTGGTGGTGTGCTGGGCTGGGGACGAAGCTCCCCTGCGGAGTAGCCCCTCTGCAGACGCCTTCAAATTTCACTAAGTGAAAAGTCTTTCCCTTGCTGTGGAGCCGGTGCCCTCAGATGAGGGGCCTGGAGCCACGGTGGGTGCCCCTCAGAGGCCAACAGCTGGAGGGTCCAGCCCCTATCGCCCGCTGGGAGAGGTGCGGCTTGAGTGCGAGGGGGCTGGAGCCCTCAGGCTTCTCCCTTCTCTTTGAGGGCCCACTCCTCCCCCAGGGCTGGGTGCCCCGCTTCTCCTGAGCCTCCTCCTCTCACCCCAGTGCTGGCCGAACCCGAACGGGTCTGGGGAGTGACTGCCTATCAGACAGGCTTTGTTTCGTGCTGCCTAGAGGGAAAGATTGTACGAGGGGGGCGCCTGGGTGGCTCAGATGGTT